TTCAATTCTGACTATGCGGGTTGACTGTGCTCGTGCCAGCCGCTGTCCCTATCCACGGAGGCGTGCAAGACAGCGGACCCGATTGCGCCTTCGCCGCCGCGCCGTAGGCCGCCATCTGTACACTTTTTCCGTCGCGGCGCGGCAGAGGCAATCCGCTCGCGCGTTCTAGTAGCCTGGGCGAAGCATACGAATTGTCCGGCAGCGCGAGAGGGGGAGGGACAGACGGCGGCCGCGGAGGGCGAGCGGGGGGGACAGCGGGATGCGCGGAGGCCAAAACCGTGGGGGCTGGCCAGCGAGCCGCTCTGCGGCAGCAGAAAGCTGCAGAACCTCCGAACTGAGCTGCTGCTGGCCGGGCTGCAGGACAGCTGCAGGTCGCAGGCTGCAGCGCTACTGAGGGCAGCGGGCCGCCATGGCGAGAGGCGGGGAAACGAGGCCCGAGCCGGCCAGTGCACGCATCGCAGCGGGTGCGGCGGGAACGCCCAGCCACAGGTCTGGCGGGGCGGGGGCGCCCAGCCGCGGAAGCAGCGGGGCAAGGGCGGAGAGCGGCGGCTGTCCCGGCAGGTGCAGGAGCAACGCAGCTGGCAGGCCACCGCGGCGGCTGGCCGCAGAACGGGCCAGGCGCGGGCAAAGGCCGCAGGGCACCCTGGTCGCCCTAGGTGTGCTGGGAAGGCTCGGCAAAACGCCATGTGAGGCCCGGTGACCGCTTCGAGGCCCGTCTGGAGGGTCTCAAAACCCCAGATCCCGGGAGTCCGGTTTTTTTTGGGGGGGGTGACGGGTTTCCCCGTCACCCGGGCTTAGAACAATATAGGAAGAGGAATATGTGTGTGTGTGCCTTAGCCATTGAACATGATGTTGTCAAGTCCCTTACAGTCTTCTGTGCTTGGTGCAGAATCGAATATTGTAAATGCTCTTGAGATGGCCCGCGCCCCAGATTGCCGAATCTCCTCGGGTGTTTCGCGTGGCTTCGAGGGTGCACCGCATGACTTCTCCCGAAGTTGGAGGGACCCGAACTGGACCAAGAAGACCCCATATAGCGCCCCAGGACGGTCCATGAAAACACTGAAACGGCTCCGAAGACCTGGGGCGGGCCCGAATCCGCCGAGCCGGCGTGTGAGTTTCAAGGGCCCTCAGAACAACCTGCGCCTCAATTCCTGTGCTTCAGCTCTATTGGGGTGTGGGTGCCGGGGTGTCACTGCCGGGGTAGGGGTAGGGGGGGGTGGTTCGATCTAATTCCCGGGGCGGAATCGGAGCTCCAGCTCACTCCGGGACGGCCCCCTTGCCCAGGAGGGCCCCAACATGGGCCAAGAGGGCCCGAATCGCCGAACGATCGCTACAAGACGCCCAAGATGTCCCCATGACGGCTCCAGAAGCCTCCAAGATGCCCTCAGAAGCCCTGAAAAAAGGCCTCCCAAAGAAGGCCCAAAGAGGCAACAAGTGTCCCACCCCCGAGGGAAAACATACAATTCTAGCACATTCGCTTCTTGGGCCTTCAGAGCGTCGCAGACGCCCCAAGAGAGCCCCAGAACGGCCCAAGAAGCCGCCGAGAGGGCGCCACGACGGCGGAAGAAGTGCAGAAGACGGCCCAAGAAGCCCCCAGCAGGCCCCCAGAGGCCCCCAAGAGGCTCGAAAAAACCACAAAACGCTTCCAACTGGCCCCGAAGAGGCCGCCTGAAGCCCCCTAGAGGCCCTCAGGAGTCTCAAATTACCCCAGTGCGACCCTACCTAGGAGTTGGAGCCCCTAGGAAAGCAGCATTAGTAGTAACAGTAAAGCTAAGCTAAAGCTAAGCTACAGCTAAGCTACAGCTAAGCTAAAGCTAAGCTAAAGCTAAGCTAAAGCTGAGCTAAAGCTAAGCTAAAGCTAAGCTAGATCTAAGCTAAAGCTAAGCTAAATCTAAGCTAGAGCTAAGCTAAAGCTAAGCTACAGCTGAGCTACAGCTGAGCTACAGCTAAGCTAAAGCTAAGCTAAAGCTAAGCCAAAGCTAAGCTAAAGCTAAAGCTAAAGCTAAAACTAAGCTGAAGCTAAGCTAAAGCTAAGCTAAAGCTAAGCTAAAGCTAAGCTAAAGCTAAGCTAAAGCCAAGCTAAAGCTAAACCAACGCTAAACTAAAGCTAATCTAAAACTAGCTAAATCTAAGCTAAAGCTAAGCTAAAGCTAAGCTAAAGCCAAGCTAAAGCTAAGCTACAGCTAAGCTAAAACGAAGCTAAAGCTAAGCTAAAGTTAAGCTAAACCTGAGCTAAGCTAAGCTAAAGCTACGCTAAAGCTAAGCTAATGCTAACGCTAAAACTAAAGCTAAGCTAAAGCTAAGCTGAAGCTGAGCTACAGCTGAGCTACAGCTAAGCTAAAGCTAAGCTAAAGCAAAACTAAAGCTAAAGCTAAAGCTAAAACTAAGCTGAAGCTAAGCTGAAGCTAAGCTAAAGTTAAGCTAACGCTAAGCTAACGCTAAGCTGAAGCTAAGCTAAAGCTAAGCTAAATCTAAACTAAAGCTAAGCTAAAGCTAGCTAGAGCTAAGCTAAAGCCAAGCTAAAGCTAAGCTAAAGCTAAGCTAAAGCTAAGCTAAAGCTAAGCTGAAGCTGAGCTAAAGCTAAGCTACAGCTAAGCTAAAGCCAAGCTAAAGTTAAGCTAGAGCTAAGCTACATCTAAGCTAGAGCTAAGCTAAAGCTAAGCTCAAGCTAAAGCTAAAGCTCCCAGGGGACTGGGGGAACCGCGGGGCGGGGACTGGGGGAACCGCCCGGGGCGTGTAGCACTGCCCGGCCCCTTTAAGCTAACAGAGTAGGAACCCTTCTAGGCAGAGCCTAGGTCGGGAAAAGTGCGTCCACGACGCCTTCTAGAGGCCTCCAAGCTGCCTCCAAGACCCCCCCCGAGAAGCCCAAAACCGGTCCCAACGTTTCCGCGACGCTCGCGTCTGAACCCAAGCGTTGTAATACAAAAGGTTCTTCCACGCTTTCATATCTTCTCCCGTTTTCGGTGTCCTTGGCCCGCAGCGGACCGCGCAAAGGCCCCAGAGACCCCCAAAAACACCATGGTTCCCAGCAGAGACTGGTAATGCACAAGGCTCCACAAATAACTGTGACGCAGACAGCTCTAGCACAAAGCTTTTCAGGGAGTGCGCCAAATCGGCGAGGTGTCAACCCAAAGAGGGCCAACACCTGGCCCCAAAGAAGCTTTCCAATAAACGCCGAACGTCTCCAACAACCGCCGGACATCTCCTTATCCTCGACATGCTCCTCCTTCTCCCCCTCCCCCTCTTCCACTTCCCGCCGCTTCCTCCTGCTCCTCCTCATCCTCAACATCCTGCTACTCCTGCCCCTCCCCGCCTCCACCTCATCATGATCCTCCTCCTCCTCCTCCTCCTCCTCCTCCTACTACTACTCCGTTGCCTCCATTCCCACTCCTCATCATCATCCTCACCCCTCGTTGTCGTCGCCGGGCATGACCGCCATCGCGCGCTTCCGACAGCAGCGGGAACGCCCCGGATCGGCGGCACTGGCCGGAAGCCACTACAATAGGCCCCCCCCAACCGTCATTTCAAGTTCTGTCTCTTAGGGGCTGGACGGGTGGCGTGAGCCTGCGTTCTAAGATGTAGCATCGACTCCCAGCCCGCCGGAGGCTAGGGCGAGTGTGAGGGGTGGAACTAAGTACTCCAGATTTCGTAATAAAAGGGAGGGGGTCTGGACCCTCCAAGACAAGCCATTTCAGACCTCCCCCGTGGGAGAACCCTCCAAAACATCGTCCCCAGACCCCCCAGGCCCTCCAAGATAGCCTGGAAGAGACCCCCCCCCCGAAATGAGACCCCCCTCCCTTTATTACGAAATCTGGAGTACCCGTTCCACCTCGATCTCGCTAAGGTGCACAACGATCTCCTGATGCTGTCCAGCAGGCTTCGCCAAAGAGCTTCCTGCACCGGGCTGACTCGGCTGCTTGCAACGAACACTTGCCCACGCGTCAATGGCTCCGCCATTCGCTCACGGCGCATTGTTGGTGTGCTCGTCGCGAATGTCCCGCAATACTAGCCATCTGCGAAAGGAAGGATGTGAGGAGGAGGAGGCGGAGCAAGAAGCGCAGGGAGACAATGATGAGGGGGTGATTATGATAATGCTAAGAATTTTGTCGCTGCTGATGATGATGGTGCGGATGCTTTTGATGATGATGCTGATGATGATGCTGATGGTTCGGACGATGCTGCCGACTAGGATAATGATGATGCGACTGATTAAGATGATGCCGACGATGACGGTGTCGATGTCGATGACGATAATGAGGATGATAATGTTGTTGATGATGATGATGATGAACTTGACACTGCTGATGCTGATGATGACGATTCAGAACATGATGGCGATGAGGATGATGAGGGTACTGATGCTGATGATGATGCTGCTGACGATGATGCTGAGGATGATGAGGATGACGACGACGATGACGACGAAGCTGATGCTGATGATGAGGATGTTGCTGGCGATGATGATTACGATGGTGATGATGCCTTTGAGGATGATGATGATGATGATGATGATGATGATGATGATGATGATGATGATGATGATGATGATGATGATGATGATGCTGATGCTGCTGCTGCTGCTGCTGATGATGTTGTCGATGATGTTGATGACGATGTTGATGACGATGGTGATGCTGCTGATGATGATGACGATGATGCTGATGACGATGATGCTGCTGATGATGAGGCTGATGGTGATGATGGTAATGATGATGCTGCCGCTGATGAGGCTGATGCTGATGCTGATGCTGATGCTGGTGCTGATGCTGCTGCTGATGATGAGGATGATGGTTTTGATGATGATGACGATGATGATGATGCTGATGATGATGACGATGACGATGACGATGATGATGATGATGATGATGATGATGATGATGATGATGATGATGATGATGATGAGGAGCTAATGATGATGAAGGTGGCACTGGAAATTGGGAGGCGATGCAAGCCGCGATAGTGTCGGAGAGCGAGGCACGATAAAGCAACCAGCGGCCCTCCTGTGTTTGCACTTGGCCAGCTCCTGCCTCAGCATGCGCGCCTCGGCCAGGTGGGCGCAAGACTACGTGCGTGGACGAGGACATGAAGAGGGAGGCGTGTGTGTGTGTGTGTGTGGTGACCTGCAAAAAAGCTGGAGGAAAGGGAAGGGCGGCAGTAGCCCGGAATGGGTTCACCAGCTGGCCAGCTGACCGTGAAACGAGTTTGGAGCAGTCTCCGAGCATCGGAGCTAGCTATGGGCGAGAAGCTGGAGGAGGAGGAGGAACGCGAGGGGGGGGAGATGAGGAGGACCAGTGCCGAGGTTGCACTGCTCGGGGAGCTACAATGAGTCGCTTGCGATTTCGGGGGCAATTCAGCGGGGTCACCGCGCGGGCATAAGAGCAACGTGGGGCCCGATGCGACGGAGGATGGCAAAGGCCCTGTTGAGTCGCAAGGCGCTCGTTTACACCCCGTTTCCCGTGTCTCCCCTGTCTTTCCTCCCCTTCACTCCTTCTCTCTTTGTTCTCCCCTCCCTCTCTCCCGCTTCTCCTTCTCCTGCTCCTGCTCTTCCTCCTCCCTCCTCCTTCCTTCCTCCCCCAGGTCGGGGCGGAGAGAGAGAGAGAGAGAGAGAGAGAGAGAAAGAGAGAGAGAGAGAGAGGAGAGAACAATAGAGAGAGAGAGAGAGAGAGAGGGAAGAGGGCAAATAAGGGAACGAGGGCGGAGGCGAAGGGGACGACGGAGTCAGATGATGGGGAAGAAGAGGGTTGGGGAGGAACACGGGGCAGATAATGCTGATGATGAGGATGGTGGTGATGATGATGGTGATGATGATGCTGCTGATGATGACAGTGGTGACGATGCTGATGGTGATGGTGACGATGATGGTGATAATGCCAATGCTGGTGATGATGATGATGATGCCAATGCTGGTGCTGGTGCTGGTGATGATGATGATGATGATGATGATGATGATGATGATGATGATGATGATGATCATGATTATGATGATGATGAGGATGATGTTGCTGATGATGATTATGCTGAGGATGGTGCTTTTGACGATTTCTGGCGGTGCCGCAAGCGTTTCGCTCGCGGACGGGCCATCCGCGCGTAGCAATCGCGCGCGGCCGCCATCCTCCTCCTCCGCCTGACCGGCCTGCCTCGCAAGCGCCGCCCTTCTCCGCCTGCTGCTCGGCGTGCCCGTGCCATTTCGCCAGGCCCAACCCCTTGACCGCCTCCTCCGCCGTGAATCCCAGCTCGGAGCCTGCCCACCTTCTCGAAAGGTACCCTGCTCAGGGGCGTATCCAGCGCGGCGCGGCCGCCCTCGGCGGCGTACTCCTCCCATGCGTGGCGGCCGAAGCTCCCCCCGAAGTGCTCCACGAACGCCGCCTCATCATAAAGGCCGCCACCGGGCGAGCGTCTGCACTTGCGGCGGCGTGGCCTCGGCGTTCCGTTCCGATCTCGGTGGGCAGGCTCGTCCAGCTCCGCGCCGTCGCTGCCCTCGACCTCCGACTCGAAGTCTTCGTCCTCCAGGCCGCCTCCGACTCGAAGTCTTCGTCCTCCAGGCCGCCTTCCGACGAGACGTCTTCCCGATCCATGCCCTCGTCCACGCACTCCCCCGACTCCCCGTAGCCATCGGAGCTGCCGTCCGAGGGGGGTTCGCACTCGTTGCTCCTGGACTCCGCTTCGACGCCGCCCTCCCTGTTACCCTCCTCCTCGGGGTCCTCGTCCTCCGTCTGCTCCTCCGTGTTGTCGTCCTCGCACGGGCCCGCCTCCGCCGGCCCAGGCACCTCCAGCAACACTCCGACGTCTCCACGCCCTCCCATGCAGACGTGCTCGGCCGCGCCCTGCACGAAGGGGGCGGGGCCGCCAAGCTCCAGCACCAACCGACGTCCACGGGCGGCACCTCCCGCGGCGCCTGGCGCACCTCCAGGCGGTTATCCTTCTGCAGCCTACGCAGCAGCGCGCGGCATGCCCAAGCTGTGCACCTCCCCATGCCAGCCCCGTGCAGCGCCGCGTTCCTCGCCAGGACCTCTTCAACCGACGGAGCCATGCCCCGCAGCAGGGCCCAGAGGGCCAGGACGGGCGTCGCGACGCGGCCAGCCACCTCCAGCTTCCCCACGATGACCGCGGCGCTGTTCCGCACTGCCTTTCCTTCGCCGCGCAGAGTCTGAACCTCCGACTTGGCGGCAGCCAAGCCGTGATCCGCCGCCTGCAGCGCCCGCCGCCGTGCCGCTGTCCGCTCCGCCCGTGTCTTCCGCGGCACCCGTCTCCCGCCAGGATCGCCGCCAGGTGGCCCTGCCCGCGCCACCGTGCTCCCGCCGCGCGCCCGCCGCTCGGGGGGGGGGCAGCGATGGAGCCGGCTTGAGCCAAAACGGCTACGGATGACGACGACGACGGTGCTGATGCTGCTGATGATGATGCTGGTGACGGTGATGCTGATGATGATGCCGATGGCGATGCTATTATTGATGATGATGCCGATGACGATGGCAACGCAGATGGCGATATTGAGTATGATGATGCTGAGGATGACGATGCTGATGATGACGATGCTGCTGATGATGATGACGATTGCGATGCTGATGGTGATGATGATGCTGGTGATGCGGATGATGCTGCTGCTAATGCTGTTGACAATCATGTTCATGATGCTGCTGATGATGATAACGAGGATGGTAATGCTGCTGCTGATAATGATTAGGATGATGATGCTGATGCTGATGATGCTGCTGATGATGATGATGAGGAGGAGGAGGTGGAGGAGGAGGTAGGAGACATGCGGGATGAGGAGGGGGAGGAGGAGGACGAGGAGGAAGAGGAGGAGGAAGATGAGGAGGAAGAGAAGAATAGTGGCAGACGGGGGGGATGAGGAGGAACATAATGAGGATGATGAGGAGGAGGAGGAGGAGGAAGAGGAGGAGGAGTAGGAAGACTTGTCCTTCTCCTGCTGCTGCTGCTCCTCCTCCTTCTTCTTCGCGCCATCCCCACCAATTTCCTCCTCCTCCTCCTCCTTTGCCCTCTCCGCGCCCTCTCCCCACCTCCAGGTCTGCTCCTGTGCGCGCTCCCGTGCGGGGGGTTCGGGCGTGGACTGGGTGTTGGGTGGGGTGTGGGAAATGAAAGGTGGGGTGGAAATTGTGCGCGCGCGTGTGTGTGGGGAGAGGCGAAGGAGGAGAAGGAGGATGAGGAGCAGGAAGCTGAGAGGGATGATGAGGATCATCAGGAAGATGCTGAGGATGATTCGAACACTCTAGGTTGGCCACGAGCGCGATCCCGCAAAGGGGCATGAGGTCCGGGGTATTAGGAGGAAGGGGGAGGAGGAGGACGAGGAGGAGAAGGAGGACGGGGAACGGGGAAGGAGGAGGAGAAGGAGGAGGAGGACGATAAGGAGGAGGAGGAAGAGAAGGAGGAAGACGATTGTGATGCGAAGAACAACGACGACGATGCTGATTCGTGACGATGACGATGTGGTGGTGATGGCGACGAAGAGGAGGAGGAGGAGGAGGAGGAGGACGAGGAGGAGGAACACGGGGAAGGAGGAGGATGCGGAGGAGGAAGAGGAGGAGGAGGAGGAGGCGGAACGTGCTCGGAAGTACTCCGTCCGATGACTCGCCTGCTGCTACTGCTGCTACTTGAGCATGAACTGCGTTGACTACTACTGCTGCCGCCATGCATAAGAAAGCTCGCGCCCGCCTCGAAATGTCGAGGAGCGGGGCGGGCCTGTATGACCTGCCATCTGGCGTCCACGGTCTTTGCGAGCTTGCGACGGTGCTGGCGCTTGCAAGGCAAGCGGGTGGCAACCGCAACGGCTTCAATCAAGGCAGTGTGCCTCTGCCAACAGCAATGGACGTCCAAGCGAAGAGGCGAGGCGGGAACTAAAGCGATAGGGATGCTACAGACTGGCCACAGAGGCGGATTCGTGTCCCCCAAGACCGAGGACGAAGAGAGGGTTAGACGGGAACGGATACCCGAGAGCCCTCTGGGCCCAGTGGAAGAGGCGGGGACAGGGCTGGAGGTAGCGGCTGACCTTATCAAGCTCTCCGAGACACCCAAAGACGCATCTGGCAGACCATTGCAATGATCCAGCCTCCGAAGGCCGTCGAAGGGCAATGATTGCCCAGGCTTGGGGGAGCTTTCGAAGGGCACGCTTGTATTCACTCCAGTCCTGCTCCGGGAACTGCATTCATATCTTAAAAGGCTTGCGCGCTCTTGGCAAGCAGGGACTCCAGAGGAGTCGGGAATTTGCGTTCCTGGGACATATCGAATGAACGCCACTGCTCACGCGGTTTCCTTCTCGGCTCCTCAGGGACCTCAGGGGGTGGATGCTTAAACGTGCGAGTAGTCTCCGCGCCAGGGCCAGACAACCGAAGATCACCAGGAAAGCCAATGGAAGCAATCTCAAGGGATCGCGCGATCGCTGGGGACTTCCGCAGAAGCGGCGCCAAGACGTCCGACACCCGCCGCCCAAACTCCCCCACCTCCTGCATGGCGTGCCTCACGTGGGAAGAACTTTCCCCAATGTTGTACATGTGATAAGAGCGTGCCAGGCGAGTGGCGGCGCCAGTGGCATGCATGCCAGCGGACCGCGGGCGTCCACTATCATTCAGCTGGAGCCAATCGCTGGGTCGTAGCATGGAGAAGGGGGCCCTTGAGAGACGCGCCAGCGACCGCCGTTTACATTGGGACCTCGTCCAGCTAAGTTGGCGCAATTGCACCATATTGTTCAGCGCAGACAGGATGCGTTCTTGGTGAAAACAACAATAACGAAACCGAATGAGGGGGCGGGACGGGCGCCTATCAGCGAGGCCCTCGTCAGAGCCTTCCCAAGAAAAACAGATCAGGCATCCGACGGAACCGCGGAGGGCACGTTGAGGCAGCCAAGATACTTGGTGCACCCCGAGATCACAAAGCTAGACCAGCTCTCCCGCGCAGATGAGAGTACCGATCTCAGAGTCGTTTCGACCTCGCTGGAGACTTCGCAGTGGAACAGCAACGCACTTGCGGGCCTCAAGGAAAAGCGCGGCTAACTTCTTCGCTTGACCAAACACCGTGCTGGGATGAGCATGTGTCAGCCTGTGCCAGACGACCGCTCCTATGCCATCCGCGCAGGCACGGATGACCCCTCGCTTCGAATGGGTGATGCGCACTTCCATGTTGCGCGTGAAAGGGTCGATTGCTAAAGCGAACAATGTGCCAGAGAGTGGGCGCCCCTGGAGGGCTCCAGAAAACGCGAAGAGAAGAAGAACCTAGACGTCACTGTGGGCAGAGCAGCAAGGACTGCGATACTAGACTGCGCCCGCCGCTCATGCGAGGCCCCGCGGCACGGGGGCGCTCCGAACACTCGGGGGCATCCATTGTTGTTTGGGGCAAGGGGGGGGCCAAGAAACGCCGGGCGCGAGGAAAGCAGGGGGCGAATGGGGTCCTTCTACTTCCGCGTGCTGGCTTCCCGCGCAACCGAATCTAAGTCCACGACATTGCGCCAGGAAGTTCGCCGCGGGATCAAGCCCTCCTGAGATGTGGCAGCGAGCGGTTGTGACGCAAGAGTGAGGGAGCGACTGGTCACTGCAGCCGCAAACTTGGTCGAGCTATTCTTGAGCCCGGGCGGGCGCGCATCCCCTCTGGCTCGGGCTGGCGCATTCTCCGCTGGATCCTCGCCGTCGGCGGGCTTAGGGGCAGACGCCTGGAGGGAGGCCGAAATGGGCGGATGCATGAACTTACCGCTGAGCACCCAGGGCGCGGCCTGGTGAAGGACTGTGGGGCCTGTGCCTACACGCCAAACAGAAACTGAACGACCATCGGAACCTGGGGCAGATGAGGCGGAGGAGGAGGAGGAGGAGGAGGAGGAGGGGAAGGAGGAGGAGGAGGAGGCGAATCGATCGAGCTGTGGGGCCGATGTCTGGTTTGAAGCCTACTCCAAGGTAAGCCGTTTTACAACAATTGTTTCTACCTCGGCCTAGCTGGGTTCATTTTACCGAGAGGGGGAAGCAGACGCCGCGAGTGCGCTCTGGCCCTGTCTGCGCCGACCTCCCCACGCAAGGGTCCGCGGGCGGGGTAGCGCCCGCTTTACGGATGCCCCCCCGCCTGCCCCCCCTCGCCCTTGCGACGGTCTCCCTTGCCCTTGCCCTTACTTTTAGGTTCGGCGTGGGGTGGGGGAGGTCGGTGCGTTACTAAATACTTCGGAAGTTTCTAGGAGGAGGGGGAGGAGGAGGAGGAGGAGGAGGAGGAGGAGGAGGAGGAGGAGGAGGAGGAGGAGGAGGAGGAAGAGGAGGAGGAGGAGGAGGAGGAGGAGGCCCGACGGAGGCGCGACTCAACCCTGCGGAGCGAGGGAGGGGGAGATATCCCGATAGCCCTATCCTGGCGAGCTGAACTTCTCCGCGTGTCGAGAGGCATGTGCGGGAAGAGGCGGCTGAGGCCCATATATAGAGGCCCAGTGCTCATTCAACTCGCGCGCCATCTCTTCAGGCGACGACTCTCCCGCGAGTGCCAGGAGGCTCGTCGCGCGAGATACCCGCGAACTGCTTGCGGGGGCCGCAAAGGCGCCAGAGACGCGCCGCCCTGCGACGAGCGCCGATCGGCCGCTGCGTCCCGTCGGGGTTCAGCCTGGGCCTCCGCTTCAAGCTGGGCCTTGAAATGCCCTTGCTTCTGAAGCTGCAGAGAGGCGTGTAAGTCCTGTGATTTCGCGGGGCCCGACAGCAAGACGACGCCGTCGTGCGAAACCAATCAGTGAGCCTGCGTCTGTTCATGGCGAACGAGACGGCATCGAGCAACTTCCACGTCCTGACGGGAAACGCAGCGCGCCGCATAACGAGTTGCCATGGCCCGTGACACGATAGGCCGTGGTCGTGCTGTCAGCTTAAGAGTGGCCCTTCCCGCCGCCTGGCGACATAACGTAGCGCGCTGTTACGCGTCGGGGGCATCGCAGACATCAGAAACAAGCATGGGGCAAACAGGGTCGGAGAGACAACGCTGCGAGGGTGGGGGCGAAGGCGAGGGTTGCCTGATTCAGAATGGCGAGGTTGCGTGGCCGCCGAAACAGGCGAGTGGTCACTGATTCCAGGCAGACGCATCTCGTGAGGTTCGCAATGCCTCTCAGCATACTGGCGGCCATCACGCAAGATCCACAGGGGTGTGGCAGCGAAAAACCTGGCAACCCAAGCTTCCGATCTGGTCCCCTGGCGCCAGCAAGTGGCAGCATCGCTCGTGGGCTCAGTGGGCCGTTTCCAGAGTTGCTTCCAGACGCGATCCTTTACCCGAAACTCACGGAGACGACCCCGCCTCCTCGACCTGAGACGAAACTGCGCTTTTGGTGGCATGAAGGGGAGATTGGAGGTTGTCAATGTCGTGGATGTTCCAGCGGTGCAGACAGGAAATTTTGGTGGAGATTTTCAGGGGAAGGACCCCGCACGCCACAATCTCAGCAGGAACAGCTGCAGGGGAGTGCGGGCCAGCCAAAGATGGAACTACAGTTGCCACCGTTGTGAGATCCTGATAAGTATGAGGCGAAGGTGCGACGCGACAGTCTGGCCCTGTGTGCCAGATCAGAGACAGCAGCCTCGCCACCGTACTCGCCAGTGCAGGTGACCCAACCGCTGCGCTCAGTGCGCGAAGACGTCGCTCTACCGCAGCAGCATCGCAATTACAGAGGGCACGGGTATTCCACGGAGCATGCGTTGTAGCAGTCGGCCCCGGGAACGTGCCACCCGCGCCGCTCGCCTTTCTTGGGCTCGAACAGGGACTTGCCAAGCGCGACCGTGGCAGGGTAATTAGTCCAGGCGCGTGTCGACGACGCAGTTCTTATCGAAGACGCCAACGACGAATCACCGCCGCCCCCTGCCTTCGTGGAAGCGCCCATGTGGCCGAACGTTGACGCCAGACCTGCCAAGCTATCGGACCATGTGTTCCCCGAATCGGTTTGGAAAGCCTTCGGGGAACACGTGGGCATCTTGAAGGTCATCTTGGCCGCCTGGAGGCCATTTTGATTTTTCGGGCCTTCTTGGAGGACGTCTTGAAGGGCTCTTGGGCCGTCTTGGAGGCCATCTTGAGCGTCTTGGAGGCCTCTTCGGCCGTCTTGGGGGCCTCTTTCTTGGGGCCGTCTTGGGCCTCTTGGGCGATCTTTGGGGGCACCTGGGCCGTCTCGGGCCGTCGGAAGGCCGAAGAAAAAGCAAATGCCACAATCCTTCAAAAACTCATGGGAAATCGATGATCTGGGCATTTTCGGGCCTTCCTGGAGGCCCTCTTGGAGGCCAATTGGGCCGTTTTGGGCAAGCTTCGAGCCATCTTCGGCCATCTTGGTGGGCTCCTGGCCCGTCTGACGCCGTCGGAAGCCGTTTGGGGGGCCTCTCTGAGCCGACTTGGGGCCCCCTTGGAATGCTACAGGGCCGTCTTGGAGGCCATCTTGGGCGTCTTAAAGGCCTCCTGGGCCATCTTGGGGGCCTCTTGGGGCCGTCTTCGGGGCCTCTTGGGCAGTTCTCGGGCCATCTTGGAGGCCTCTTGGGCGATCCTTGGGCGATCTTTGGGGGCTCTTGGACCGTATCGGGCCGTCGGAAGGCCGAAACGAAGCAAATGTCAAAATCCTTCGGAAACCTACAGAAAACAATGTTTTTGGCCTTTTCTTGCCTTCATGGAGGCCCTCTTGGAGGCCTCTTGGGTCGTCTTGGGCCAGCTTCGAGCGAATTTCGGCCATCTTGGTGGGCTCTTGGCCCGTCTGACGCCGTCGGAAGTTGTTTGGGGGGCCTCTCTGAGCCGACTTGGGGCCCCCTTGGAATGCTACAGGGCCGTCTTGGAGGCCATCTTGGGCGTCTTAAAGGCCTCCTGGGCCATCTTGGGGGCCTCTTGGGGCCGTCTTGGAAGCCTCTTGGGCAGTCCTGAGGCCATCTTGGAGGCCTCTTGGGCGCTGTGGGGGCGATCTTTGGGGCCTCTTGGGCCGTCTTGGGTCGTCGGAAAGCCGATAAGAAGCGAATGCGAGCATCCTTCAAAAACTTAAGGAAAATCAGTGATTTTGGCCTCTTCGGGCCCTCCTGCAGGACCTCTTGGAGGCCTCTTGGGCCGTCTTGGAGGCCTCTTGGGCCGTCTTCGGCCGCCTTGGACTCTCTTGGGCCGCATGGGAGGCCGTCTTGGACCATCTTGGGCGGACTTGGAAGCCATCTTGGACCATCTTGGAGGCCATCTTGGGCCAACGTGGCCATCTTGGAGACCATCTTGGGCCATATTGAGCGAAACATTGGGAGAATTGCGGGCCTTCCGGGTGGCCGGCGGGACGGGCCGAAGCCCCGGTTCTTTTGGACAAAAAACAAAACCAAAACCGAAAGGGTCTAGCACGCCAGGGACCCCTTGCGATGAATCGACAGGGGGCGGCGGATTTCACTGCGCCAGCGGGGCATCGTGAGGGGAGACAATGACCTTGGCGAACGGCTCCCGGGGGGTGGTTGAACAGCAGAGAGGGCCGTCGAGATGATCCGGCTGTGGTGGCAGTAGGTGTCTTATTCGGGGATGGACAGACCCCCCTTTAGTAAAACGTGGTTTAGTGAGAACGACCTGAGGCCCAAACCTGGCAGGCGCAAGCCTGGTAAATAACGGCCACGGCGCCCTCTCGAGAACCGAAAACGGACAATTCACTAATCGACGTGTCACTGTTGGGGGTTCTGTCCGCACCCGACTTATCTCCTGTCTTCTTCAGCAGGTGCCTTCCTCCTCTCCTTGCAGCCCTCCTGCCTTGGGCAACAGGTGCCTTGCTTTTCTTGCCGCCCTCCTGCCTTGTGCCGCGGGCGCCCTCCCATCTTCTTCCCCGGCCTCCCTCCTGCCTTGGGCAGCGGGCGCCCTTCCCTCCTAATCTTCCTCCTCAGCCCTCCTTCTGTCTTGCGTCGGGGCCTCTGCCGTCCTCCTTTCTGGCCTCCCTCCTGGCTTCTGCAGTGGGCGCTCTTCCCTCCTCCTCTCTCCCTCTCTCCCACGTCCCTCCTCCTCACGGCCGCCGCCGCGCTGCGCCTGCGCCGCGGTCGCACGCGTCTCGGCGCCCTTCCTGTCGGCCCTCGGCCTCGTCGTCGTCTCCTCCTTCTCCTTCTTCCTCGTCGTTGTCGGCCGTGTGCCCGTCGTTCAGCACCGCGTCCCGAACGTGGATCGCCCACTCGAGGATGCGCCCACTGGAAAATAAAAGCTCCTGCATCTCTGTCCACGTAGACCGTGACTGCGGTGCGACATCTTGGCTAGAGACCGTTCTTGAGAGCTTTACATGCCTTCTCACGCGTGGGCAACGTCGCATCGTCTTTTTTCGCGGCTGGCAGATATAGGAACATCAGGATTGCCGGGGACAGGAACCGAGAAATACCTTCACTGCGTGGCACTCGTCCGCAGCGTCGCCTGGCACTGACGAGTGCGAGCTTGCACCGTTGCTTCAGGAGGTCCTGCCGTGCGAAGAGCGAAGTTGCGGCCAAGCTGAGGGCCTTTGAGTTCTACCTCTACATCAAAGTTACAGCTGCACGCTTTCACCCATTCTGAGAGAGCCTCCTCAGCGTTAGTGAATGAGACCTCCTTGCGCGGCGTGAGCGTGACGATCTTAGGGTCCAACTGTCTGCCCCACTCAGCTGTCCTAGCCTTCTGCACCTTGGGTGTAGCCGTTTTGGCCATGTTGAGCTCGTCCTCCAGGTTCTCGAGGCGATCGCCAGCTCCGAACTCTTGATACATGCATTCGACATCTCGGCGACACAACGCACTTGGAACTCCTTGAACATCATGTCATGAGCTGATCGGCATCCGTTTGCATCTGCGAGCGAACCATTTCAGCTGACGACGGATCCAATACAATATTTGCAGACTCAGCACCCTGCGCCGCACGAAGACCATCGACGGGATTGCCAAGAGCCTGAGCACCCTGAGCAGCCTCATCTGCAGCACGAGAAGGTTCGTGAATCTCTGCATCAACGGCCATGCGCTCAGCATCATCACTAGGAACAGAAACTGGGCGATCCTCATCCTCAGGTCCATGTGGGCGCCGTGCGGCGCCGCTGCCATCTACATTTCCACGCCAACTACCGGCCGTATGGTCATGTGCTGGACCTCCGCGCTCTTGGTGGGGAAGGTATGAGCCGCTTCGAGTGCTGCATCGAAAGCCTCGATATCAGTTGTCTGTGGTAAGCCTTCGCCCAGCGAGCTCCTCGGCCTGTCACATTCACCGTCACGCCTCGGAACACCTCCACATGCGCCACGAGCCTCACGATCAAGACTGTCATCACCATAACTACCACGGCGAAGCCACCGAGACGAGGGAGGCGGCGGAGACCCGCGCTTCGGAGACGGGATACGCATGCGAGAGGCAGGCGAAGTGGCGGGTGGAGTGCTGCTTTGATTTTTTTGCCTCCCAGTGTCTCGAAGGAGTTTCATCCTTTCCTGCTTTCCGAACGCGCGCATCCTTCTCGGTTTTCTTCTCAACGCTCTTGTCCACAGGCATCCGCACTAGCCTACGCAAGACCTGGAATTTCCTTTTTACCCGCGCAAGCTGACGTGCTGGGGAACGAAGGTGTTGCCCCACCAGGAGCTCACAGGAAATACTAGTGGCTAGCCTCGGATCAGAGGTGTCCCTTCCCTGCCCGATTGATGTCATCATCCTGAGCCAAGCTGGCTATGCCTTGAGCCAACATGGCTATGGAGAAGGAGGTAAAGGAGGAGGAGGAGGAGGAGGAGGAGGAGGAGGAGGAGGAGGAGGAGGAGGAGGAGGAGGAGGAGGAGGAGGAAGAGGAGAAGGAGGGCGAGGGGAGGGTGGGGACCACCCCGGCCCGCCTCCAGGCGCAAGCTTCGCTCCTCGGCCTTGCGCCTGTCTGCCTCGACCAGGTCGGGCGCGTGCAGTGTCTCGGCGGTGGACGCCGCCTTGCGGGCTTCGCGGGCTTCTCTCCCTCGGCCCCCTGGCGTTGCACTTTTTTCGCACTGGGCATTTTCGCCCGTTTCCGGGCTCCGGGGCCATCATAGATCGATACAGATCGAACACATGCAGCAGAAAAATGGGGTCTAAGGCTCTGGTCGCGACTTTTCGCGATGCCGCTTTTTTCGCAAATGTCGGATCTCGCGAGGAGGTGATCGATGAGGATCGAAATTGCTTGACGGATGGAGCGAAATCTGTTGAGGTTTCGGTTGATGCGTTTGGTACTTGTTGGATTTCTGGAGGCATCTGGGACTCCAGGCCGCGGCTACCTCGGGCGCCCTCCAGGGACTTCCGGAAAAGGGGGGGCGGGAGAGGAGGTCTGGGGGGAGGGCTCGCCTCGAGGGACAGAGGCTCGAGGGGGCTCGACCCGAGGAGGGAGGACGGAGGAGGGAGGAGGAGGGGGAGAAGGAGGAGGAGGAGGAGGAGGAGGAGGAGGAGGAGGAGGAGGAGGAGGAGGAGGAGTAGGAGGAGGGGGAGGAGGGGGAGGGGGAGCAGGAGGAGGAAGAGGTGGAGGAGGAATAGGAGGCTCCAGGAGGCTCGAGGGAGTTCGCCTCCACAGCAGGAGCGCGGAGGGGAAGGTGTTCATTGCTGAGTTTTCTTTCCTCTGAAGTTTCACGGGGCTCAGCACCTCCTTGGGCTGTGTCGGCGCCGCCGCCTGAGGCCTGGAGCGAGGCGGGGTCGCGCGGAAACGCTCGTCCGCGCTGGGGCGAACACCGGGCGCACGCTAATGAAGGGGCCCAAGGACACACAAATAAATACACACAAATAAAATAGTTCCCCTATATTGTCCATTACTCTCTGGGTTTTTGTCTTCCCGCCCAATTCCCATATTTTCCTATATTTTCTTGGGGATCGACGATTAATTGTGTCTGTGTGTTTTTTCCCTCCTGAGCTAACATGGAGTAAGGACCCGTGGATCTGGAGCGTGAGCGCCGGATTCGCAGATCGGGGAGAACACGCCCCGAAGCATGAGGCCAGTGCCGCCTGGCTTGGCGACGGCGCGCGCCGACCCTGTGTGTGGAAGTGGGCCCCGTCGCTGACCAGGGCGCCTTGGTTCACGCTTGCGCTTCCTCGACGGCTGCGCCGAGTGCCCGCTGGAGGCTGCTGCCAGCGCGCAGCGCTGGCGGGGCTGCCGTGCCTCGGGCGTCAGCGCAGTCGCCGCGGGCGCGGCGGGTGTCCCGTGAAGCCCCCGAGGCCGGGCTGGCGCCCGCCGTCCACCGCGCGGCGGCGCGCCGCCATGGCCGTGACGAGCCGACCGATGGGTGTCCCCCCCCCCCCGGCCTCCGCTGCGGCGCCCCGCGCCATCGCCACGACGCGCGGGGGCGCCCTGGCCCCAAGAGACTCCTGGGCCCGAGACTCCAGGGGGCCCACGACTCCTGGGCCCCACTCCAGGGGGCCCAGGGGCCCAGGGCTCCTGGGCCCTGGACTCGCTCCTGGGCCCTGGACTCGCGTGCCACGCCCGCGGCGCTCCGAGCTGGCGTCGGCGTCCAGCAGGGGAGCCGCGGGCCGCCGGCGGGCGGGGAAGAGCCCGCCCCAGCTGCGGGCGAGCCCGCGAGCGCCCGCCCCAGCTGCGGAGGAGTGGCTGGCGCTGCCCGGGCAGCTGGAGGCTCGTGGCCCGCTGCTCGCGAGCACGGGCCCGCGCCCCGTCCGGCGCCTGCGCCGCTGGCGCCGCTGGCTCGGCCTGGGCCGATGGCTTGGCCGTACGGCCCGATCGGGGTTCCCGAGCCGCCTCGAGCCAAGAGGGCTTGAGCCCAAGCTGCTGCTGCTGCTGCTGCTGCTGCTGCTGCTGCTGCTGCTGCTGCTGCTGCTGCTGCTGCTGCTGCTCGTAAGGAATATGAGGAGGAAGGAGGGGGGGAGAGCGAGGAAGAAGAGCAGAAGGGATATGGTGAGGGACAGTGATGGGCAGGATCAGGAGGGGTAGGATGAAGAGGGGTTAGGAAGAGTGGAAGGAAGATGGGCGAACCTCCCGCCGTCGTGCTTCTGCCAGCTCTCGGCCCCTCCCTCCAGACGGATTTCCCGCCGCGGCTGCTGTTCTGACTGGTCCTGGGCCCTGGAAGCGACTCCCGGAGGCTCAAACGTCAAGAAACGTCCGTTGTGCTCTCTTCGCGGCCTGAAGCCTCGGTAAGAGAAAGGCCTCCTAACAAGGGGCCGAGACGATGGGCCGGAGGATCGCGCCGCATCGCCGATGCCTCGGCGAGGTCGGTGGTTCCCTGGCGACGTCGGCGTGGAGAGCATCGGGCCCCACATCGAGCCGCATCGCCCCGATGCAGCGGCGGTGCCGGTGCGACCTGTCGCCCCCGCCTGCTCCGACCCCGTCTGGGCGGCCCCCGAGCACGAGGAGGTCGAGCGGGCTCCCGCGGCTGCCCGACCCGGGGCCACGGCGGCGGAAGCACGCGAGGGCGGAGGCACGCTCGCCAAGCTCCCGGCGCCCCCTCCAAATCTCGGCGCCCCTTCGGGGGGCCGAGGCCGCCAGCACGCACCCGTGGGGGAGGCGTCGAGAGCCGTGGGGGCCCACGTTCTGCAGGAGCCTGCCGTCGGGAGTTCGGGTCGCCACCCCCCCCCCCGCCCTCCTCCGCCCCCTCCTGCCGCCCCTCCGCGCCCTGCTGCCCCCCAGGCGTTGCTGAACTGCCTCCCCCCCGCCCCCTCCTCCGCTCCCTCCTGCCGCCCCTCCGCGCCCTGCTGCCCCCCAGGCGTGAACTGCACGCAGGGGTCAAGGACGCGAATGGGGGGCTTTGAGGAAGACGGCAGGCATGCGGAACGTGCCCTGGGCGAAGCCCGCTGACCGCCCCGCCCGACAAACGTCTCAGGCGGAGGCGCTGCTGCACCAGCCAGCGCTTCCCGATGTGCGCGGGCCGCCGTGGCGCAGTGGCCGTCCCAACCAGGGTCTCCGATGCTGCGGCTGAGCTGTCAAATGGGGGGACTCCCGAGGTGGAACCTGCCAGGCTGAGGGGTGGCATAGTGCCAAAGGCTGCCTACTTGGGGCTCTGTAAAACTTCGGACCCCTCCCCTCCCGGTCACAAATTGCTGGACACACGCCCCCCCCCCCCCCCCGAGAGTTACCGGGCCCGTCGGCGGCCCCCCGCCCCAGCGCTCCCAAAACGGCCTTCGATGCTCCGGCGGCGGCAGGGAAGAGGCCACCAAGGCTGCCAAGATGGCCCAACACCGCCTCCACAGGCACCCAGCATCCTCAAGGAGTGCCAGATAGATCCCGAAAGGCATGTCGCTCTCCGGGCGGCCGTCGAGAGGCTCTAAACATAGGTTTCCTAATGGTGTTCACTTTCCGCGCTCTTTGGTCGAGTATCGGACCCAATGCGTTGTGTTTTGAGCCCAAGTGGGCCTCTGGAGGGGCCCAAGAGGGCCCCTCGACGGCCCCACCAGACTCCCCCCCTGACGGCCAAGAGAGGGTCCTTCGACGGCCCAAGAGAGCACGAAGACAGCCTAATAGGGCTCCAAGACTGCCCTACTGGGCTCCCAAGATTGCCCCACACGTGCCCAAGAAAGCCCTAAGACGGCCCACGTAAGCCCCATGACCCGTGAGGGCTTACAAAGAAGAGAAGACGAGCGGTGTCACACGTGACGGCTTTCCTCTTCCTCCTCTCCTTCTTCTCCTCCTCCTCCTCCTCCTCCTCCTCCTCCTCCTCATTATGTTCCTCATCCACCCCGTCTGCCACTATTCTTCTCCTCCTCCTCCTCCTCCTCCTCTTCCTCCTCCTCTTTCTCTCCGTATCCTCCGAGACTGCCCCGACGGCCTGCAAGTGCAAGCGTGGGAGGCCTTCCCTTTCCGTGGCCAACTGGTCCAGGCCAATGCGAAGTTTCTGCTGTGCCGACGCTGCGGCACGCGTGCCTCGATCGAGGCACCTGTCTGGCGAGGTTTGCTCGCAGACTGTTGGGGCCAAGCGGATGTTGCCTCGGTACAAGCGTGGCGCATCGAGGCTGCACTGTCTGGTCGCGAGGTCTGCTAGGGGGTAGCTCCATCAAATTGCGGCGTGGCCGCAGCCTGGGTGGAGACATCCCGCCAATGGCCCTCGGCCTGTGCGAGGGGGTGCGGGACCGTTGTGTCGGGAATGCGGTCCCCTCCTCTTTTCCTTGCCTGCCAGCCCTGATCCTCCGAGACTGGCCCAAGACGGCCCAAACAGTCCCCGTGAGAGCTCCTCGAGGAGTGGAGACGGAGACGAGTCACGTGTGACGGCCTTCTGGGCCGTGCTCGAAGGGTAGACACACAGAGTGCTTCGCTGGCGCGGTGGCGGACTTGCCGCAGGTACCTGGGCAATCTACAATGCCAACCAAGCATGAGGGCCTCGCGCAAATCCAGCCAAGCTCTCGTCCCGTTTGAGAAGGACCGACTTGGTTCGCCTTGCTTAATTGACCTCGCGCTGCTACTTTTCCGTCCTCGCGCACTTCTGCCTCGCTCTACCCCAGCACTGGTTTCGGTCTGGACCTGCGCTGCTTCGCTTCTTGCTCCGCCTGGCCTCGCGGTGGCCTGCCTGGAGGGGTCCTGCGACGCAAAACCGTGCATTTCAGTGCCGCCCACTGCCATGCTCCTGAGAGCAACGACACAGGGGGTAGTGAGGGTGGGAAGACAGCGACCCGTCATCGCCGATGCATCCCTGATAGATCGCCGATAGGCTTCCGATCGCAATCCGCGCACTCCTGGGCGGGGTGGGCGAACAGGCCCCTATCGGCGATGAGTGGGCGATTGGGGGTCGATGCGTTCCCCCCCCCCCCAAAGCTTATCCCCCTCCCCCCCCCCTGCGCTGCCCAGGATCTCCGTTCTGCTCTGCACCGCCCGACGTGCGCTGCCCTGCCTCCGGATCTGCGCCTACACGGCCAGTGCCGACCCACTTCCGTTTTGCCCTGCCCCAGCCCCAGCCTTGAGGTGAACGATGTTCCTTTTAGCTGTATCTTTCGCAATTCCATCAAAATCGCTTTTGAATTGCTTTTCAATCGCTTCAAACGAATATTGCGCGAGGGAGGGCTGGGGCCCAGCCCTCCCTCGCGCACTCTTGCCCCGCGCTCCTTCTCTACCCCGCCTTCGCTCGGCTCACCGCGGCCTGCGCTTGCTCTGCCTCGCGCGGCCCTGCCCCGCATCGCCCTGCGCTGCCCGACTCTCCCGCCTCCCCTTTCCGCTCAAGAAGAGGGGCGGCCACCTCGCCGTCGGCGAGGACCTCCTGGCCGGATGGGTTCCTCGACTGTGCTGCCCTGGGCGGGGAGGGCATGGAGTGGCGCCCTTTCGAACGAGGGTTAAGTCGGGCCTGTCCCCCTACAGGGGGATTTTGGACGAAAAATAAGAAGTAGTCAAACAAAACCCTAAAATATTCAAAAATGGGCAAAAAATCGTTCCCAGACTATTTTTTGACTATTTTGGAATCTTCCCCCTGTAGAGGGACAGGCCCGACTTAAAACGAGGGCCCTGCGAGCACGACGGGCACGTCGGAGGAGGCAATGCTTTCTCACGCAACCAGACGCTGGGCGCATGGCGGGCGGCTGGCGCTGCAAGGAGGGGCAACGCCGCCGAAGCCTCCCAAGGAAGCAACCTCTTGCGCGCCAGCGGAGCTCCACCGGGGACACTGCCGGAACCGGTACTGCACTCCAGGATTAGGGGAACAAAAAATGACATAAACATTACTCCGACGGAAGAACCCCACATAAGAATCCTCTGGGCGAATCTGGAAAAAGCCATCACCGTCGTCCTCGTGGTTGGTGAGGCGTCCTGGCTGTCTCTTCTGCGTATATTTCCTCTCGCCTTGGCGCGGGCCCCCCTTCCACTCCTTACGTTGTCCCCATCCTCGCCCCCCTGTTTGTTCCGCGCCCCGCCACCTCCTCCCCTTCCTGTTGCATGAGCGCGCATGTCGATGTTCCTCGGCGCCGTCGCCGCCACGGCCAGCACAGGCGCGTTCTCTACAGGTCACGTCGCGCAGCCGTTGGGACAACCCCGCGGGCCAGGCTGTCGGGACAACCCCGCGAGCCGTTGGCGCGCAAGACCAAGCCGTTGGGACAACCCCGCGGGCTTCGAGCGAGGCGCAGCCGCGCTCAGGCGGAAGGCAGCACGAAGCCCAGCTCTGCCGCGAGCTGCTTCGCCTCCGCCCTGGACAAAACCGTTCTCTTGTCGAACTCCAGGAGCGCCTTCCGCAGGGACGCCGGCGGCCCGCACTCCAGGAACTCTCGCGGCGGCGGCCGCAGGATCAGCATGTTCCGCATGCACGTGGCGCGGGAGAACATGACGTAGAGGTGCAGCCACCACTGCTCGTCCGACATGCCCGTGCGGCCAGCGTCCTCGTCTCTCGCGCAGTCGATGGTGACGCCCTTGCGCAGCGTCTGGCCCTGCGACAGCGTGGAGGTCAGGTAGGACGCGTGCGTCAGGGTGAACCCCGAGCGGCGCACGCTGTGCGCCCCCGAGCTCTGCCATGTGAACTCCCTTTCGCTGGGCCTGAACATCAGCAAGCTCCGCGCCCGCGCCTCGGCCTGGCCGTCGTCGTCGGCGCCTTCGGCGCCCTGTCGCAGCACCTCGGCGACCTGAGGAGCCCAAAAACTTCCTTGTTGCATCCAAAGTGTGGCCTGGGAACTGCGTTCTGGCAGCGCGAGAACCCAACATTGACGACAGTTACAGGTTTTGGATGACCTGCTCGGATTACCAACATGATCTGCGGGCCCCATAGGGAGGGGGCTCCCGCCTGAGACTTCCTCGCAGTTCACTCACAGACGAGGCTCCCGCCTGAGACTTCCTCCATATTCAGGCTTGAGGAGCCCAAAAGTGACGACAGTTACAGGGTTCCGATGACCCGCTCGGATTACCAACATGATCTGCGGGCCCCATAGGGAGGGGGCTCCCGCCTGAGACTTCTTCACAATTCACTCAAAGACGAGGCTCCCGCCAGAGACTTCCTCCAAATTCAGGCTTGACGAGCCCAAAAGTGACGACAGTTACAGGGTTCCGATGACCCGCTCGGATTACCAACATGATCTGCGGGCCCCATAGGGAGGGGGCTCCCGCCTGAGACTTCCTCGCAGTTCACTCACAGACGAGGCTCCCGCCTGAGACTTCCTCCATATTCAGGCTTGAGGAGCCCAAAAGTGACGACAGTTACAGGGTTCCGATGACCCGCTCGGATTACCAACATGATCTGCGGGCCCCATAGGGAGGGGGCTCCCGCCTGAGACTTCTTCACAATTCACTCAAAGACGAGGCTCCCGCCAGAGACTTCCTCCAAATTCAGGCTTGACGAGCCCAAAAGTGACGACAGTTACAGGGTTCCGATGACCCGCTCGGATTACCAACATGATCTGCGGGCCCCATAGGGAGGGGGCTCCCGCTTGAGCCTTCCTCAGAATTCACTCACAGACGAGGCTCCCGCCTGAGACTTCCTCCATATTCAGGCTTGAGGAGCCCAAAAGTGACGACAGTTACAGGGTTCCGATGACCCGCTCGGATTACCAACATAATCTGCGGGCCCCATAGGGAGGGAGCTCCCGCCTGAGACTTCCTCCCAATTCACTCACAGACGAGGCTCCCGCCTGAGACTTCCTCCATTTTCAGGCCTGGGGAGCCCAAAAGTGACGACAGTTACAGGGTTCCGATGACCCGCTCGGATTACCAACATGATCTGCGGGCCCCATAGGGAGGGGGCTCCCGCCTGAGACTTCCTCACACTTTACTCAACGATGATGAGGATGAGGATGATGAGTGGTGGTGAAGATGAGTGGTGAAGAGGATGATGATTGATTGTGGGTGGTGGTGGCGATGATGATGTTTGAATGAGGATGATGCCGATACCGATGATGACGATGATGTTCGTGAGCGTGTGAGAGAGTGCGAGTGATGATGATGTGTGTGTGAATGAGTGCGAGGAGAAGAGGGGGTGAGTGAGATCTCTCTCCTGCGCGGGGGTGTGCAGAGAAAACAAGAACCCCACTTTGGATGTGGGGAATAAAAACTCGGAGGTCCGCGCGGATCTCTCGGATCGGCGCTGGGGCCCCCCTCCCTGGCGCGTGGAGCGCGCCAGGGGCGGCGCCGGAGGCGCCGCCGGGGGGCCCCAGCGCCGATCCGAGAGATCCGCGCGGACCTCCGAGTTTTTATGTTTATGTCACTTTTTGTTCCCCTGAGGATGCGCGAGCTCCACGCCAGACGAGCCACGGGAGTCCCCAACGTGGCCACCCAGAGCTCTGTGCGAGGGGACCGCGGGGGGCCCAGCCCGTCGTGGCTGCCCACGAGCGAAGCAGCCAGGCTTAAGTCGGGCCTGTCCCCCTGCAGGGGGATTTTCGACGAAAAATTCTTAAAAAATCCCCAAGAATAATCCAAAATAAACTCAAAATGATCTGGGGACTATTCTTGGAATATTTTTGGACCATTTTGGGATATTTTGGGGGTATTTTTTAATTCTTCGTCGAAGATCCCCCTGTAGGGGGACACGCCCGACCTCAAGCCAGGCCGCGCTGAGGCAAAGACCCCTTGGGGCTCGGGTGGGGCTCCGGTCCTCGGGCCCTGCCTCTTAGGCCCGTGCCGGGGGGGGCAGCTCGTGGCCGCGGCCCGCCGTGGTCCGCAGAGCCCCCTCGCTGCTCAGCTCAGCCGGCGTCCCTTCCTCGGCTGCGCGCAAGGGGGTGGCCCTGGGCAGGAGTGGCCTCTGCGTGCGCGGCTTTTTAGGGCCGCGGGGGGGGGCCAAAGACAAGCGCGCAGGCCGCTGCTGCCGCTTCTCTCTCTCGGCCATCCGGGGGCCCGTCTGTCGGCGGTGGACAAACCTCCCTTTAGTAGACCTCCCCTTAGTGAAAACGGCCCGGGACCGAAACCGACGGACCTGGACCCGCAAAAATGACGGCCGCGACGCCCTCTCGCGAACCGAAAACGGCCAATTCCTGAATCGACGTGTCAGGGTAGGAGGTCTGTCCACCCCCGAATCTGTGCCCGCACCACAGGTCACTCCGGCGAAATGTCCCTCTTACGCCCAGTCGACAACTTCATGGCAGCACGGCAACTGCCAGGGGCGGCTGGCTTCGCCGATCGGGCAGAGGCCGAGCAGCGCGGGCGGAGGCCGCCGCGGCGCGGCGCGGCGCCCGGCCCGGGCTCGGTGCTGCCGCTGCTGGTGGCAGGCTTGCGAACCTTGGCGCCCTGATGTCTGCGTCGGCAGAAGTGCACCGGCAAGTGCACCCGTGGTGCCCCAGGCGCTTGGCATGACCAGTGGCCGAGGGGGGAGGGCTGGAGGCAGGCAGAGCGGGCGCAGGGCCCGAGGGGCGCGGACCAGAGGCCGAAGGCCGCCGGCGCGACGCGCAAAGAGACAGCACAGGGACTGCCTGCGCGCCGTGGTGCCCACGGTTAGGAACTCTGCGTTGCTTGCAGCCAGCCCGTGGAGTAACGGCGCGCGAGAAGGATGCAAGGGCCTTGGATGGCCATGCCCACACTTGGCGAGCGGGGCGCGCGGCCAGCGAAAGCCGCCAAGGATGGGACGAAGGGGACGGATGCAAGGGGAACCTTGGAACGCTGCTCATCCTTACCATGCGGGTTGACTGTGACCACGGCTCGGAACTTCTTACTTAGCGCGTCGCGGCGGCGGCCCCTGCGACGCGCCATGCCCTGCAGGCTGACAGGTGTGCCTCTCCGCTTCGCGGGGGAGGGGGGCTGGGGAAAAAACTCGCGTCGTTGATGCCTGGGGACCAGGACATGGTGATCGGGTGCGCGTAAGAGTGACCTTCAGCAAAAGCGAACTTCGGTGCGCGACTTCTGGAGGCCGCGGGGAGGCCGAACGAGAGCGCGCAAGCCGCTACCATCGCATCTCGTTCAGCCATCCGGGGGCCCCAGTGTGCCCGCACGGGTCACTCTCACATCTGACCGATCGTGCGTCGAGCCGAAGCGTGGTGGGCCAGAACCAGCGGCGCGACACGCTGAGCAGAAATTCCTGACCGTCCTACCTGCGGTTGGTCTGCATGCTTGGCGTGCGCCCGCAGGCGCCGGCGAAGTGGAAGACTGGCTGGCGCTCCCGGTCCAGCCTGAGAACTGCTCTCGCGGATATGCGAAACGGCGGTAACGATTCGAACTGGCGCACGGGGCCCTCGGAAACATGGCCATGGCGACGCACTGCACGCTTCAGACACGCAAGCCAACGTGCGAAATCACAACTGCCGTTTCTTCCCAATCTACCCCCGCCGTCCTGTACTTCGCAATCGCACCAGACAAATACACAGCAACGGTGGCGACAACCTGCGAGAAGCGC